CTCCACTTTTGCCCATAACAGCTGAAATGCCTGTACTGCATGCTACGTTCCAGCCTTGGACCTCTGCCCTTTCTTTGGCCTATAAGCTATTTAATGGATAAATAGATGCACTGCTGCTTAGGTGTCAATCATATACCAAAGACATGTAAGGTTAATAAATACTTTTCTTCAGGTGCTCACAGCTGTAGTGTTATTGATTTAAAGCTTCACTTGTCAGAGCAGCTAGCAGAAATCTCTTAGGACCTGGAGGAATTTGGTACAAGGTCTGACCAAATGGGCAAGAAGATGCAATGCTATTAGTTGTGGCACTGAAGACAACTGTGCTGGCAGAGAATGTGTAAAGGTAGAAGTTCTCAGTGGAGTTTGGTATTTCATTAAAGGCAAGCACTGCACAAACCCAAGCAAGTGGCAGGAGAGAGATGGCAAGAAACCATTAATCCTAGTCCCAGATTTTGCCCTAATAACCAGAAGTAATGCATAGGAACAGATGTATGCCATTGAAATAACTTATATTATAATTGTTAATGTTGGTGGAGTCATTTGACACAAAAGTACTTGAATGAGTCTGATCCCCTGTTAGAATGCAGTTTATGGGAACATTTTGTAATTATCATTAGAGGAAACCTGTTCCTTCTCTTTTTCCCTGTTACAGGAGGTATCTTGTTTCTTGAGCATGAATCATGTCCACTGATTTTTGTTAGGTTTTTTGTGTGTCTAGGCCACACAGGTCATCCTTGGGAGCTCTGTTGCAGTTTCACAAATGCTCATGTGGTACTCACCTGCCAAGTTGCTGGGCAAGCTACTTCTTGCCTTATGCTATGCTACTAGGCATTGATAGTTCATTGCAGTCCTCTGTTGTAGGCTTTTTGTAGCTTGACTGCCAATGCTTGCCTGAGAAGGAAGATCAGACTGCTAGAGAGGGCACTAGGGACCCTTGCTTATTCTCCATTCTCCAGTAAGTGGAGCATGCTGAAGTGTGAGCTTGCGGGGCTGGAGTCATTCCACTTTAGTTGCCTATATGCTAGCTCTCAGGCTATGGCAGATGCAGGGTAGGTTTAGCTCTGTGTCCTAAGTTTGTACCTTGGAGGCACAACAAGAATTTTGGCAGATTGTTGGGGATACTGGCAGAACAAGGCCACAGCAGGTAAAAGCAGAGACTGGGAGAACAAAGCACCTCCCACTGTACGAGAAGAACAAGTTAATGACCATCTAAAGAACCTGAAGATGCACCAGTCTATGGGACCTGATGGGGTCCATCCATGGGTCCTGAGGGGGCTGGTGGATGCAGTTGCTAAGCATCTGTCCATCATCTTTGAGAGGTCATTGCGGTCTGCTGAGGTTACCGCTGACAGGAAAAAAGGTCGCATAGCGCCTGTTTTTTAAAAAGGGGAAAAAGGAAGACCTGGGGAACTACAGGCCGGTCAGGCTCACCTCTGTCTGTCAAGGACATGGAACAGATCCTCCCAAAAAAACTAAGGCACATGGAGAATAAGAGGTGATTGGTGACAGCCAGCATGGCTTCACTGAGGGCAAATCATGCCTGACCAGTTTGCTGGCCTTCTATGACAAGGCTACAGAGATGGTCGATAGCGGCAGAGCAGCTGATGTCATCTACCTAGTTTTGTGCAAGGAATTTGACTCTGTCCTACAAAACATCCAGGTCTCCAAACTGACAAGACATGGATTTAACAGAGGGACCACTTGGTGGATAAGTTATTGGCTGGATGGCTGCACCCAGAGTTGTGGTCAATGGTTCAGTGCCCAGGTGGTGAAAAGTGATGAGTAGTGTTCCTCAGGGGTCAATATTGGGATCAGTGCTGTTTAACATCTTTGTTGGGGACATGGACAGTGGGATTGAGTGTATCCTCAGCAAGCTTGCTGACGATGCCAAACTCTGTGGAGTAGCTGACACCCTAGAGGGAAGGGATGCTACCCAGAGGGACCTTGACAGGCTGGAGAGGTGGGGCCATGCCAACCACATGAAGTTCAACAAGGCCAAGTGCAAGGTCCTGCACCTGGGTTGGTGCAACCCCAGGCACAAATACGAGCTGGGGGAACAATGGCTGGAGAGCAGCCCTGAGGAGAAGGACTTAGGGGTGGTGGTAGATGAGAAGCTCAGCATGAGCCTTCAGTGTGTGCTGGAGCCCAGAGAGCAACTGCATCCTGGGCTGCATCAGAAGAAGTGTGGCCAGCAGGGCCAGGGAGGTGCTGCTCTGGTGAGGCTGCACTTGGAGTACTGCATACGTGTCTGGAGCCCTCATCACAGGAAAGACATAGAGCTGTTGGAGAGCTTCCAGAGAAAGGCAGTGAAGTTGGTCAAAGCGCTGGAGCACCTCTTCTACTAAGACAGGCTGAGAGAGTTGAGGCTATTCAGCTTGGAGAAGAGAAAGCTCTGAGGAGACCTTATAGTGGCCTTCCAGTACCTGAATGGGGCCTACAGGAAAGCTGGGGAGGGGCTTTTCCCCAGAAAGGGTAGTGATAGGATGTGGGTTTTAAACTGAAAGAGGGTAGATTTAGGTTAGACATCAGGAAGAAATTCTTCACTGTGAGGGTAGTGAGGTTCTACAGTAGGTTGCTCAGGGGAGTTGTGGAAGCCCCCTCCCTGGAAGTGGTAAAGGCCAGGTTTGATAAAGCTTTCTGCAGCCTGGTCTAGGCTAATGTGTCCCTGCTCTTGGCATGGAGGTTGGAATCTCGTGATCTTTAAGGTCTCTTCCAACCTTAACCATTCTGTGATTCTGTGACATGAGTGGACATCATGTCCTGGAACACTGAATGAAGGGAGTTAAGAGACTACCTTGTCATTACTGGCTGCTGACCCAGTTAGATTTTCTAGGGTAAGCTTAGCTTTCCCTATTGCCTTTGTTGTAATGATTTTTACCAGAATCTGCTAATTGTACCACCTGGATGCACTTAGGGGCCATCTTCTACCTTTAGTCCAGGGAGGAAGTTGAACATCCCTTCTTAGCTTCGAGTGGGTTTAATAAATAAGTGATACCTAGTTCAGGTTAGGATTTGTTATTTCATCTCCTCTTCTTGAGCAGAAGGTTTGTGGCCTTCACCTTACAGGGTGGCTACTTCTGCGTAGCCATCTGTCTAATTCATAGGAACTAGCAAAGACGTACTGTGAGATCCAGCCATCACAGTTCAGGAGCTAACAAACCTCTATGAGATTAGTCTTCTCAAAACTCACAGCATAGTAGGAGGCCATTTCATAGTTCCCAGAAGCCAGGTGGGATGTAGTGTTGTTTATTGTGGTTTCTTACTTGCTGAGACCACTTCAGTCAGTTGACTTTCCTCTTGCATTCCAAGATTGTTTAGTATGTTGGAGACACATGCATCCAGGCAGACTGGTTTATGAAATATACTTCATCTGTTCCTCTTCTCTTTTCAGAGGTGTCCAGCCCTTTAAAAGACCAAGTCAACTCTGCTTCTAGGTTAGTGTGTCATGTAGTCTGTTTCCTTCCTTTCTTTAGAATTTTGATCGCTGACCTTCCCAACTGCATATCAAGATCCCTCCTCAGAGATTTTGGTTTTTTACCAGGTTGAAAAGACTGAGGGAGAGGAAATTGGTTAAATGAACAGGTTTCTGCAGTTCATTTTTTAGAGGATTTTTTTTCATCTGTACATCAAAACAGTTTAGTTTAAGATAGTTTTGCAAGTGTCCAATGTCAAACATTTAAATTACTGATTTTCAGTTAGAGAAAATGAGAATGTCTGCTTAGCTTTGGGAATTCATGAAAACCTACTGTATTTCTCCAATTGCATGGAATTGTAAAGTTCTCATTTCCCCTCTACACTAGGAATGTGACCATCTGTTTCTTGCCAGTTTGTGACCAGCACCTGCATTCACCATTTTTAGTGAACATGATCAAGTTTAGCTATGCTTCTGCTCTTGTCTGCAGTACTGCTGTTTGTCAACAGTCCTTGTATCTAGGCTACCCCCTAACAGTGTTTCCGGCAGTCAGTTCTGGAAGTATCTGGTGCTTGACCCTGGCTGCTTCAGCATTTTGATAAATCGCTCCAGGGCAGTACAAGAGCTAAGGGTGTGTTGATTGCTGTTCCTTGGCCCATTTTGCTGTTAGGAGAATCCTGCTAGCTCTCTGAACTGATACTTAATCCATGTTGTCCAAAAGGGTGAAAAAAAAATACCACCATTGCAGGCTGTTGTTAAGGAGAATGGTTCATTGCCATACATTGCTAACTGCATTGTTTAAAAACTTAATGTTTAGGGCTGTCTAGGTAACTGGTAGGTATGACTGTGTAACATACACTGCAACAGAACCTTAGAGGACAAAAACCCTAATTTGACTGTATCTTGTCATTGCTAAGTTTAACCCTTAGGAAAGTTTCTTGTTTATTAAAAGTAACAACTGAGTTGATTCTGATTTGTTTTATATTTTCGTAGTGTTTCATTTCTGCTTTTCTTAATGTACATCTTAGGCACATGTAGGATATTTTATTTTCACAATATATACCCATTGGTCTGTATAGCATTTGAATGAAGTTTAGCTTCTAAATGTCACTGCCATTATGAAAACCTTCAGCTTGAACATTCATACTTTTGTTTGTGAGATAAGTTCATAAATTGGTTTAAAACTGTTCTGACAATAGTGGTGGTGTTGTCTTGCTTTGCATGGAACAAGTTAGGGAATTCAGAGGTGAGGATGGAAGGCTAACACTGACTTCCCAGCATTCAGTTCCTGTTTGCTAACCTAGCAGATGGTTACTATTTTTTATCTTTGTGGCTGTTTTCCTTTATTCTTGTAAACCACAGGGGTACTTTTCATGTTGCATTTAATGTTAACAGTTCTTTAGGATTACTTCAGGTATCAGAATTAAGAATTCCCAAAGCAGGACTAACTAAATTTATTGAGTTAAAAGTGAATTTATGTAAAATTTCACTGTTTGGTTTTAAAAAAGCTTGTATGATTTAGAAACTTTGATTTGGCTGTATTTCTGGACACAAATAATGCTGATTTTCAATCTCTCTTGTAAACTAGGCAAATGGTGGCTCGAAGTTTGCTGGACACTTTGAAGGAAGTGAGTGATGATGAGAGAGATTGTATTGCTGTGTTGGAGAGAATCAGCAGATTAGCTGATGATTCAGGTAGGTAGCATTGAACATTTTACTGGGTTAATGAGGGAAAGTCGGAACTGCTGAACTTTTCAGTACAGGACCAGTATGTTCTTTCTTTTTGTCAATATTCAAACTAGGCTTCTGCAACTGCAATAAAATACTGTAGTTTTTCATTTTGCTAAATCATCCCCCCAAAGGTAACTCTGTTCCTTGCTTTTGTCCGCAACAAAATCAAGCCCCTTTAGAATGTAGGACAACACTTTCCTTTAGTACATTTTAAAATAACTTTTATTATGTACTTTGTGCTACTCAGCAAATCTACATGATTATTTTAGATTTGTAGATAAAGATAAATTCCTTGCCTTGAGAAGAATCTTTCAAAACATCTGTGCAGAACTCCCATTAGTTTTGATAAAACTTAAATGCTGAAGTTGTTCCCTTGCTCCCTTTTGTGCAATCAGTTGTGAAGAGAACCAGCAGGAACTGGTAAGCGAGGTGCAGATACAAGTAATGAGTAGGAGGGCTCTGTAGATACAGAGGGGCTTTTGCTTGTGAGTGTATTGAGACTGCTGGCAAAAACAGGAGAATACTGAAAAACAGCTGTGAAAGAAAAGCAGTGGGGGAAGGGGATGAAGGGAAAAATGGTGTGGATAGAGTTGCAAAAAATTCCAGGTTGAAGATGCTCTAGAAAGAATTAAGGGCTCGATTTCAACATAGCTAGTACAGTTGAAGTACCAGAAGGAAGAAGGAAGGCTTTAGTGGCAAAATACTAGAGAAGATCTGAAGTTAATTTTTTTTTTGTCATTGTAGGAGTGCTGTGGAGAGAAACTTGTATTAAAACTTGTATGGAAGAAAGTGTTTCTTCTGTTTAATGTCTGTTAGTTTTTCTCCCTTCTTCTGGAATTGTAGGACATAATGCTTTCCATGGGTAAAAAGGTATTCTGCTAATTTCTGTTATTCTGGTCTTTTCTGTTACTCTGTCATTGCTGTCTTCATCTAATATGCACGTTTTTATTTTTCTGAGGGAATGTTCTTGTTTAGCTAGGAAAAATAGCCTATTGTAAGCATTATGTAATTGTTTTTAGTACCTCGCCAAGGATTCTTTAAGAGGAAAAAGAAAAGTCACTATTCATTTAGGTTTAAATGTATCTTTAATTGAAAATGGTGACATGCTACTGTTTCTAGAGTGCTTTTCTAGCAAAGCTCTGGGTCTCAAATCTGCAAATACACTGTGTGTGTTCATGTTAACAGATTTGAGCATCAGAAACTTTCTGAAGCTTCAAGTTTGGAAAATAGGACAGATGTGTTCAGGGGAAAATGGCCTTGTGCAGCAGCCTTGCAGTCTTAGGCTTTTAATTGGTGATAAACTAACTGTGTCAAATTGACGTTTGTTTAGGTATAATGTAATTAAAGCCGAGAGTTGAGCTCAAATCAATTTGTTTCCTTTAACAAGGGTGGAGTACATTTTTAGTCAGTGTTGGTATTTTCTCAGCATCAGTAAAAGCAGCATTTCAGGCTTTTCCTGTGTTGTAGAAGTTGTCTTGGATCTGCCAAACTAGTAGCACTGGATTCTGCAGCTGCCCCACAAATTAAATTTCTGCAAACTTAACTGAGTTTTGTGCCTCAAGCAGTTACAATATTGGACTTAACCTGTTTCCGTGAGACAGGTAATTAGAATATCCATGTGTCTTAAAGCATGTGAAAAATCATTAGGGAAATAGATCTTCTTTGTGTCATCTTAATATATACGTGCTTGACTACTATTCAAACTGCAGCACAGTGGTTTTTGTTTTCTTTTTTTCTTTTTTGTTCTTTGCTGTTACAAGACTTTTTTATTTTTCTCTTATCTGATGCTTTTTTCCATTTATGATATTTCTTCCAACTTGTTCTGTGAAACAAACAAAAAAATAATTAATTTGGAATAAGAAGACATTATAAATGCATCTGTGCATTTTGACTTGCTTGGTTACAGACAGATGTCTTTAGGGTTAGAGCCATCCTGGAGTCAAGCCTTCATGTTTAAATGCATAAATAAATAAAAATAAAAACACACTGTAGAGAAGTCAAACTAAAGTATATATGGGACTTCTCATTTCTAATAGGTGATATTCATTAGTATCATGCCTGGTTTTCAATATTTGGAGGTATTTGTATTCTCCTGTCAAATTGAGTCTCAGAAAGTAAGGTACTTTTTTTTTGCGGTAGTTGGTGTAGTTTGCTTTGACTTGAAGAATGTCCTCTGGTTCCACAAAATCCCTGCTATCTTTGTGCTACTTCTGCCATTATCTGAAATGCAGGTACAGCAGTTTGCTAGAAATAGCCACTGCCTTAATGTTGCCTAAGCAGTCTCTGTCCTGTTAATGCCTTGCAACTTCAGAAGTCCTGCAGTCAGGCTAATGTTTTTCAGATGCCGTCTTTGCTTGAAAAAGAAACACATTTAGGGCTTTATTTTTGGTTGGGCCTGGGTTTGGTTTTTGTGGGTTTTTTTAGGGTGTTTTTGTTTTTGTTGTTTTTTTCTTTGTGAACTGAGGCTATGATGAAACAGCCATTTATTTCTGTGTTTGAAAGCAAGAGGCATTAAAAACAATAATTATTTTTGGTCTTCTTTATTGGTATGACTTCCAACTTAGATGTGTTTATGGTGTCTTTGAACCTACAAAAGCCAAGAAGCAGCTTGGCATAGAAGCTTAGTGTGTGGCAAATGTTTATTTATACCCCATAAACCCTCCTTAGTGATGAAGTGCTTATCTTTGTCTTAAAACAGCTGGGCCTTCTTTCTCAACTGTAGAGTAGCTGCAGACTTATGTGAGCTTGGACAAGGCCCTTATGTCTCTCTTTTTTCACTTGAGTAAATCTGTATTATTCAAACTTTTTTTTTTTTGATACCAGCTTGTGAATGACTTATACTATGCACACAAGTAAAACTAACTGGCTTTGACACTTGGCCTCAGCCAGAATTATTGCATTATTGGCATCTTGCTGACTGTGCTTGCAAAACTGGACATTAGAAGCTTTAAATGTTATTTTCTGAGGGTTCTTTTAGATGAGAGTCTGTATCTTTGTTTCTAAAATATGTCTTATTTTAGGGTACTACTTAAGGTGCATATATGTATCTTTCTAAAGAAATGATGGGGGGAAAGGAAGTGAGTTCCTGGACGCCTGGTGCTAATTTGGTTGAATATAACGAACTAGATTTTTTTTTCTTCTAAATGAAAAGTAATATCTTTATTGCATAGAATCAGTTGTGAATGCAGTTTGCAAAACAAACTGATTTTAAGAAGACAATTATTAGACTATTTGGTCATTGAGTTTTGAAGCTGTATAACTAGGCTTAAGGTGAACGGCCTCACAACTTTATTTAATAGTGTGCTTAACCTGTGTAAGACCATTTCCATTACTTCCATTGATGTAGTGAGAGATGCCAACACTACCTGTCAAATAATGCATATAATAGAATTTAATTAAACAAAACCATCAGATGTAAGCGATATTAATGGGAAGACTAATATTTGCCTTTCCCAGCTGTCAATAGTTCCACCTGTTTTTTTTCTGCCTCCCCTATCTTCATATTTCCGGAATTTCTATACCTTTTCTCTCATCTCCTGCTACACTAAGAATTTTTTCCTTTGCTTGCTGTGATGCATCCATGCATCTGATGGATGACTAATGGTTGACTTTACCCTCTCTCATTAGTTTGACTTTCACTCATTGTTTTGCCAGTCAGTAATGAAGTCCATTTTTGGTTAGTAAGAGAAAAGAACTTGCCTACGGAAGCAGTACATACATAAGACACATCAGTCTTTCTGATGGACTCCTAAGCCCTAAGGGACAGGTTCTAGTTATGTTCACTTGTCTAGATTTTTATTTTTATTTTTTTGTCTGAAAAAGATAGGAAAGTTGGAAGAACAGATGAAAATGGGGAGAAATTGAAAGAGAAAATATGGATGACACTGGAAAGAACAAAAGAGGGGAAGTTAAAGTTATCTATCCCCTTCTTTCCCAAATTTCCCATATAAGGTCTAGTTGATAAACTATAGAATTTATTTAAACTTTGTCTTTGATCACACAAATGTTGTTCAGTTTGAGTATAGACATATATACAAATCCAGCACCATTGCCACGTCCTGGGCAGATTGGCATCTTAGCATGCTGTGTACCTTATACTCAGGCTGAATACAGAAATGGGAATCTATACAGGTGGAAGGACGTGAAGGTGTTTTCTGTGCAGCTTGTTTTTCTCTAGTACTTACAAATCAGTATTTTAATTTTCCTTTCACCAAGATATTTTTTTTAAGAATTAAAGTGTAAATGCATAGCTATGCATTTAAACCTTTAGTTCTTACTCACAACCCTTAATAAGAACAAATCTTCAGGTGTACATCAAATACTCATCAAAACAGTCAGTTAAAGTGGTGTTAACATCACCAGTAGTGGTTGTTCATACACACTGTATATATACATTTACAACACAAAAGTCTTACAGCCCCTTACAAACCTAGGGGAAATTGACTGCTGTTTGTATTCCAGAATGGTAATTTTTTAATAATGAAGGCTTTGCAGAATTTCTTCTAAATACTGTATGCTGTTGCAAAATAAGTTATTGTGAAATAAATCTAGTTGAGAGCTGGCTCTGAAATTATTACTTCATTTACAAATAACTGTACTGGAGCAATTAGTTGGTATTACACTGTACAGCTTTGCAATAATCCCTTTTTAATTTCCAGTATACAGCTAACCATTGTACTTTACTTCCTCATACCTAGAGTGGAATACAGAGTGAACTGAAGCCTCTGCAGAGATGAAATAAACATTGCAAATTTACAAAGGAAAGCTAAGTGTGTGTGCTAGAAGTAGCTAGATGAGTATATTGGCACTTTGCTTACATCAGAGATGCTGTCAAATTCTAGGGGAAATGTACATGTTTTTCATAGATGGGGAAGGAACAGTTTATTATTTTTTTAGTCAGTTTGGGATATTGATTTAAATTATAATTTGTGAAACAGCTAAAACCAAAGGCTGATGTGCACAGATCGAAGTGCCCAAATTCTGGAGGTGTTGGTTGCAATACATTGCTGGTTTCATGTGGTCTGGAAATTGAGAGAGGTAGAGCTGTGTCATCTTACTCTGGCAACTTTTCAAAGTTATTTCGCAAGCAGAAGAAATGGAAGCCATTTTCACTTTCTTCTGTTGTTCTTTTAGTTTTGCTTCATTCCTAAAACACAATTCAGTATAATTCTGTCTTGAGAATACACAAGACCTGATAGAATGAAATAAAGTGATAATGAATGAGAAAAACAAGTGTGAGTCTGTTTCTGAGGTATAATTTTTATAGTAATACTTATTTCCTTTATTTTTCTTTGTGGTGGTTTTTTTTAATTTAACTGGTTTTTTTGACAAGTTGCAGCACTTTTTCTAGTATTCTTCTACTTTCAAGTACAGAGTTGTACCTTCAGGAGATAGTTTGAAAAGAGCAGCTTTTTAAATACCTGGTCTGCCAAACAGAAAAACAGTTTTCCAAGCAAATGTTATGGAGAATCTAATTGGACACAGTATTTTCCAAAGTACCTAAAATATAAACTTGCAGTCTTTGTGAGAAGCAAAATTCTCTGCCCAGTTTTTGTTTATACTGTGTGGAAGATCTGATCCTGACTGTATAGTACAGTGCAAAAAATATGTAATACAGATGTATTCCCCAGCTGGATAAGCTTATGCTTTAAGAAGCTGCATGTAATAATTTTAACTGACACTGCCATGCTCTGTTCACCATGTTGATGACCAAACCATAAATTTGGTTATAAACAACAGAAGAGTTTAAACAGAAATGACAGACACTGTCATGTATTGAAGCCTGCTGGAATGTGTATTAGACGCTGCCACCTGTCTAAGCTAGAGACAAAGATGAGGAATGGGTGGAGGGAATGAGAAAGTGCTGGATCTTTAGTGGAAATTTTTTGCATTGTTGCTTGGGTCTTTAGGAAGCTTAATGCAAAAACTTAATGCTCTACTGTAACTGCATCAGCAAGATTAGGCTCAATTCAGTATACACTGGAACATGCGCTTCAGCATTTAGAAGAATTGAGCTCTTATCTAAATTGGTAAGCTTAAGGTTCAGTCTTGCATAGCAGCAGTAATTCCCCTGGAAAGTACAAAAGCCTTTTTGATGGTGAATTATGGTGTTGCATTACAGAGCCAGTTACGCACACAGTGCTGGTTTGTTTATTGGTTTGAATTGATCTTACTAAGATCACAGAGCCATATACTTAAAAGTTAGGGAATGTAAGAACTAAGGTGACTTTACAGTTCGAATTCATTCCTGGGCATGAATTTTTCAAATCTTTAATTGCATCATCTCATCTGTCTGTGATCCTTACAAAGCCAGAGCCTACTAAGTAGCTCAGGAAGAAGGAGGCTCACTTTACGTGAGCAGCTCTTTAATATTGTCATCCAGTGTGGCCACTCTCTTAAATGTTGCACAATAGATCAACCCTGTCCTGAAAAGCACCTTATGTTTTTGACACTTATTGTTCTCTTACTATAGTGCTTCATAAATAAATTTATGAACTCAATTTCACAGCAGACCTAGTCAATCTGGGGAAAGAGAGTGTGTTGCCATTATTTCACCAGTGGGTGGGCAAATTGTTGAGCTATCAGAATCACCTGTTTTGAGTGCCTAGCGTCCAAAGCTTTATACATAGCTCTTGATATGCTTAATACAGAGCTCTTGTTGGCTTTGATTGCAATGGTGGTATTTCCTCAGCCGTGAAGACACAGAGTTTGTACTGCAGTTAAATAAGTAGTGTGCGATTACCCTGTGAGGAGTTTGGCTTGAGCGTTTTGCACGGCTTCATGCTAAGAAAAAGAACAAATCAGGTTTCTCAGCGTTTTACTTCTTTCACTCTGTTTGGATGGTAATATCACAGTCAGCAGTTCTGTGATCTCTTACTATTGCTTGCTTCCATCATCAGGTGGTTCTGCTACTGGAAGGAGATGTGTGATTGCACAGGGAGACCAATCTAAGTGCTAGTTCTTGCTGTTTAATCATGCTGCTGTGATGGGGCAAAAGCTGTGTCAGCCAGATCAGTTCATTGATGCTGGCTGCACAAACAGTTGCATTGGCATAATAGGCCGGCAGCAAGTTTTAGGTTTGGAAGGGTGGGAACTGCCTGAAGCAAATTTAGTAACTGTTTAAGAAGCACTGCTGCCAAACATGTGGCCTAGCCAAATTTCTCTTCCTCTCTCCCCCTCCTCTCTGCCCTTCCCACACCAGTCTATCTGTTGCAAGGAATGAGGCAGGGGTCTTAAGAAGGGAGAAAGACATCTCAGTGATAATTGTTGTGAGATAAGCCTCTTGTATCCTTAGATCAAGTCCTGGGCATGTTTTGAAGTAGCAGCCTTATGGGATAGGAGGGAACAAGTCCCTCCAGGGCTGACATTAGACCCTAGTTCCAGTTTCTTGTCCAGCAAGTTTCAGTCTCCCTTCACTTTAGTCACTAGTTTTATCTCCCTGTTTCTCACCTCTCAACCTTCCTTACCCCACATGGTAGTTTCTCATTCTGTTTTGTTTCCCATCTGCAGCCTTTTCCAATGAGTAGCTCCTGAGAGAGGGGCTGTGTATAGTCTGTCTGCAGTGATGATGGCGTTCTCCATCTCAATAGTGCTCTTCAATTTGTGGTTGCTGTGCTCTCTGTCAGCTACTGGGCAGGTGCAAATGGAGTGTGTTTTCAAGGCCTCTTAGCTCGGCCACTCAGTTTTTCACACAGGTGGAAAAAACATGTTAAGATATAAAAGGACTCCTTTCTCTGCCATATTTCAAGCTACTCTTCCAGAAGTGAAGAAACTAGGCCTTATCAGACAAAGATAAGGTGACCAGGATTCAACAGGGGAAAATAGATTGTTTTGCCAACTTTAATTTTGAAGACAGCTGATTAGATTTGGTTGATTCTTTTTTCATATCTGTGTGTCTGAGAAAACCTCCTCCTAATGAATAATTGCAGCTATTGCACATTTTAAGGACTGCTTTGGCAAATTTTCATAAGGAAGTGAAAGATGCGTATATAGTAGTGCAGAGTGTAGTTGTACCTGGTTTTGCAAAAAGACGGTGCTTGTCAAAATTAAGCTTGATGTAAACATGCTGACACAAACACTTGAGAATGTAGTTTGTCTGAACAAGACTGTAAAAAGCTTATTCTGGCAGTATCTGGCAGTATGCTTGTAAACATTTATTTGGCCTTGTTTGGTTTTATTTTAACCCTCACAGAGCCAACAGTGCGGGCAGAACTGATGGAACAGGTGCCTCATATTGCTATGTTCTGTCAAGAAAACAGACCTTCAATCCCATATGCTTTTTCCAAATATTTACTGCCTATTGTGGTACGATACCTTGCAGACCAGAATAACCAGGTAAGTGTGTTTTACGAACAGTTGATTAACTAGTTGAATATACCTGGTGTTGAGGTTTGCCAGTTTAAATAGTCATACAAGTGTGAGATATTTTGGGGTGAAATATTTTGAAGGACATGAAATATGTGGCACTATGAACTTTTAATTAAAGAAAATGTCTAAGATTTTTTTTATCTTGTGTCATCTGATTTGGGGCCATTAGTACTGTATTCTTCTGGACAAAATCTGTCATTTTGATAAGCTTACATAATTCAAATTCTGGCAAAGAGGAGCAGTAATTACGAAAAACTGACTTTCTGGTATAACTAAATTTTTTCACACCATTGTGTACCTTCAAAACCAGTTATTTATATATTGATCCAATAAAACTTTTGGATTGGATGTATGTGGTTTGTTTCTCTGCGTGTATGAGTTAGCTTGTCTACAGCTTTCTCTAGTTTTCTCCACGTGTCAGAGTAGACTAATCCGAGGTAAGACATTATTTTACGCATTTTAGTTTATCACCTTTTTTCTTCCCAGACTTTACATAATTAAAAATAGGTACCTAAACCTATTTTTCTTAATTGTTAGTTTGCTAATTTGTGTATAATACAACTAGATACTTCTTGATATTCTTTTGCTAGCAGACCAGTGGTTGTATTAATAGTCTTAACTTCTGTTAATATTCCATTTTCAATTGCTGCATTGCAGTATATAGGCTCTTGTTTTATGTAATGTGTTCTGATGAATACTTTTTGAGAGGCAGGGGTTAGCCACATACAAAATCAATTATTAATGGTTATCTTATTCTTACGCAGGTGTTTGTTTTTTTTTCTGTTAGATGGGACTAAGCAAAATTGTGTCTTAGAACTTGAAATACATTTGAAATAAACACAGTTACTGATTTTCAGCCAAACTTGTTAATCTCAGAAAAAGGATTTTTTTTTTAATAAAATGTACATTGCTTAGAACTTTGTTACTCCCGGTTTCTTGTGCTGCTTTTCTTGCATGAGCTTTGCCATGACTATGCAGGACACACATTTTTGTCTGTTTATGATAGGTCAGAAAAACAAGCCAGGCAGCACTGTTAGTCCTGTTGGAGCAAGAACTCATAGAGAGATACGATGTAGAGACCAAAGTATGCCCTGTTCTGATAGATCTGACAGCTCCAGACAGCAATGACGATGTGAAGACTGAAGCTGTGGCTGTAAGTAACAGCAATACCAAATCACACAGTATAAAGTTTGCTTGAATGCTTAGTGTTGCAGTGATGGTAGTATGTTATGAGAATGCACATCCTTCTGGTATTAAAAAGAAAAAAATTATATTGCTTTTCATAACTAATCTGTAACTTTTCACATGCTGTGTTACACTCAAGTCAGGGTTAGTTTTCAATTCAGTAGCTTATATATGCTGTAATGAATAATCCAGCTGGACAAGACAGAACAGGGAATTAATTATATTGACTCCTAAAGCATCTGCTATTTTTTTATTTTTTATTTTTATTTTTTTTTGCATTGTTTTGTGCTATGGAATTTTAAATTGCACAGGTGGAAAATTTCCTTCAGTGAAAAATCTTTAATGCTTGAGTGCTTTTGGTCTTTGCTGTTTGTCTGTTTCTTTATTGATTTTGTTTTATTTGGTTGGATGAAATAATAAGCATCTGAGTTGATTAACTCTTAGTTTCTTTGTGGGGCTTTCACATTAATAATTATTATTAATAATAAAATTATGTGTTGAACTGAAATAAGAAGGAAATAAGATTTATAAAGGAGAAGTGTCTGAAGAGGTAGGTCCTTATGTTTCCCTTGAAGTTTTGCAATGTGTGTTTATGCTTTTTGCTGGGGTGTGGGGCTTTTTGTTTTGTTTTTTTGTCTTAAATTATTTTTTGTTGAGAGAGACCTCATTATATTTTAGTTCCATAATGTGACTGGACTTGTAAGCAATAAGCAGACTGGGCGTTATTGTATTTGGCATCAAATTTCTAGTACTTTCTTGAAGCTTACAAATACACAAGGGAGTGAAATTTAAAACAATTATTTTACACATCTTTGTTTTGAAGATATTGAAACTTTAAAAAAGTTTCTGAAGCTCACTTAGCCCCTAGAGATTAGAAAAATGTTTATTAGTAATTAGAGGAAAATGAATTAATTTAGTTCTGCTCACACAATTAGGAAAGTTAAACATAAAATTCTTTTAAATTACCTTCTTTTTAAAAAAGTTGAAGTAAAAATCAGAATGAAAGAGCAGTTTGAGTGAAGAGCAGTTTGAGTGAAGAGCTGTCTCTGTTATAATATGCTTTTTCAGTAAATTTATGTTAAGGAGTTGCATATGTGCTATATGGAGTACTGTAATTTTTAAATCACACAGAAGTTGTAGAATTCACCTCGGCATATTGCCAGTAACTTTGTGTTAATTGTAAATATTAGTTATTGGGATAGTGAAAGAATCTTGTACTTTTTTTTTTTAAAGTCCATTTGGTAAGGTAGAATAGTAATTTCTGAGGGTTCAGGTATCTCCGTTAGTTAGGAATTTGATTTAGTTTGGTGAAAGACCCATGTCTTGTATGGCTGTGTTACAACATGATCGGAGAGAGGGATAAGAGAAATGAAAAAAAAATGCTTTTTGCACAAGTGACCAAACCTTTTCAATTAAAATTATGTGTTTTTTCCAATATTTTTCACAATTTACAATGAAATTATGTACATCAGAATGAAAAATAAACGTAAAAAGCCTGTACTTAACTGACATGGAATTGTGTGTTGTGCAAGCTTCTCTGATGAGTGTCTGTCTTGCCGTTAGATAATGTGCAAAATGGCCTCCATGGTGGGAAAGGACATCACGGAAAGACTTGTTCTCCCTAGGTTTTGTGAGATGTGCTGTGACTGCAGAATGTTTCATGTTCGTAAGGTATGAATTATCAGCATCTAGTCTGGATTATCTGTGAAAAGGGTGTCATCAACTTGGAACTTGCATTTGTCTAAGTGACTCTTTCCTGCTAGATCTTATCTGTGACATGTATAAATGAAAGCTATGGAGTTTCTTTTGTAGATTGCATTTGTACAGATTTTATATTTGACATTGAGGTTTTTCCAGAGTCCCTGCCTTTATTATCAGAAACAATGAAAGAATCTGTTTGTCCTTATGATTGTGTAGGTATCCACAAACATGTGAACCAGCTGTAACTGATACATCATCAGCCACCTGAGCTTATATCTCTGTGCATAGATGTAATTGAAGATGCTCATTAAGATGAAGTAAGCTGGTACACCGTCATGGTATTTAGGTGTTGAGGCTGTGTTTTGGTTTTGCCTTTCCATTGCACAGCTCATTTTCCTTGATAACTGCTTGTATTCTTTAATTTGATAGCATTTTGAACGCTTTTTATCCTCCCTCCCTTTCATTTAAATTCTAGACTGGTTCTTTCCTGATAGAAAAAAAATATGACTGGGCTTGAAGTTAAGACAACCATTTTTAATGTTTTAAATTTTTTTTAAGCCATGAGAACTGATGGGATGGGGAAGTGGCTGATATTGAATTTGTACTGAAACATGTTTTTTATGGTTTTAAAAGCTTTTTATGGTTTTACCTTTGATTTTGTTTGCTGTATTAAAGCTATGGTCTTAGTGGTTATTTCTTCCATTTTGTCTGTAAGGTATGTGCAGCCAATTTTGGAGATATCTGCAGTGTGGTTGGGCAGCAAGCCACTGAAGAAATGCTGGTAAGCCATTTCTTAACGGATTTTTCTTTTTAATGCAAGTCAATAGTGGAGTTAGACAAGGTACAGAGAAGGACAACTAAAATTGTTAGACAACCACTACATTCGCTTAGTAAGGAGAGAATGAAAAAAGCTGTGACTCTTCAGTTTTCCTGACATGAGGTTATTATTGACATATACAAAATCTTGAAGACAGTTATTGTGAATACAGAAATCTTACTTGCCAAATCACACAGTCTAGAGCTAAGGGGTACTCTCAATTCTAGAGCCAGGAGGAGGGTTTAAACAAGACTGAATAAAATACTTGGGGCTGTAGAAACTATTTGCAAGTTCAGAAATACAGTAGGCAAGAAGTAGGCAGGAATATGTCTTCTAATGTCCATAAATGCAACGAAAGATTGCAGGTACAGAAGCAGCATAGTGAGTATAGGCTGCTAGAAGTGGCTAGGCTTGTGTGGTCTCTAACTAGCATCACTTAATGCTGCTGTTCATTGATTTAGTCTTTTAAAGTTAGTTTTCCTGACAATACAAAAGCCTCACAACCCTACTGGGAAGGAGTGAAAGAGAAGGAAAGGCAGAGAAAGTAAGTGAATCTGGGCAATAAAAAATGAAGTAAAGGGAAGAGATACAAATGAACTGTGGAAAAAACGGGGAACTGGATGGAGCAGTGAGCAGAGGATCCTTAACAGCGCTCCCCTCCCCCCCCATTCCCTTGGCAGGTCCAAAGAGCTGGTGGATATTGCTAGGCTTGGAGACATGGCAGGGCAGAAATCAGCTTGTCAGTCTCTGGGACCCTTTTTCAAACTTTCACCTTTTGGGTATGGTGGGCAGTGATCTTATAGGGCCAGAGGAGGTTGATAAGTCATGTGCCATGAATTAGCAAGGGATTTATATGAAGCGAGTATAAATGCAGGCACGATTTCAACAAGAGGCTCTGCAGCCTTTGCAGATTTGATGTTGGAACATATTGGTATGCCTAGTGTGACCCTCGGGGCATTTCCTTACCCTACATTCTGTGTGATTCAACCCATTTGATAAGGAAGTATTACTGTGCAGATTTGCATCCCTTAGGTTTCTTGATTAAAGGTGTATTCAATTTCTTATACAAAATCCCTATTGTTGATACATGTAATGAACTTGGATTAAAAATTTGTAGAGTTGCAACTATATTATGAAATTAAAAAGTGGTGGTTATTTTATGCGAAGGCAGTAACATCTGGGTGGATGGCTGAGGATCTCTTTCCATAACAGAAAATACTATTTTATCTTTTTGGAGTATTAAAGAAAAAAACAATATAGGTAAAAAGCTGAATGGCTTTAGATAAAGCTTTGTTTTGTAACATAAATGCTTTTTTAAATCAGAACTAAAGTCCAGAAAACTTTGGTGCAGAAAGTAGGAGCAGCTGAACATCAATATTTGAGAACAGAGCAGTAGAAACAGTCATTGTATTACTTGAATCAACTCTGCCTGTTGCAAGCGAAGGCAGCCATGTGGTAACCTAAATGTCTTTGACTGCCTCACATGCCCTCTGTCCACTATTTCATCCTTAACATTATTGTTTTCAAAAAACCCAGGCACTGGAACAACTTCAAAATGCTTCAGTTTTATTAGTAAAACCACTACTCTATTCAAACCTGTTTTCTCTTGCAGCCAAATGCAATCTTTCTTTTATTCCTCTATTCTGCAGCTCAAGTCCTAATTGTAGGGTAGGTGGTGACAGAGATTGGTAAATCTAACAATGAGAAGTTTAGGTGGAAAAGAAAGGTTTTTATTTATTTATTTTTTCCTTCTTTCTGAAGATGCTTTTCCTTCGTATTTCAGTGAGAATCTTACAAAAATCTGAAGTGATCTCTGATAGGTAAAATGTTAAGGCACTAGTAGTCTTTGGTTTTGTTCCTTTCAGTTCTAAGTGCTTTAAAAGAATGGTGTAGCGATGAGGTTGTGTCTTATGATGAGTTGTCTGACCTTGGGGCTATTTTTGGAGTTGGGTTTTTTGGGATTTATTATGGGATATAAATCAGGTTAGAAAGTTAGTACTTTCTTGCTATTCTTCAGGCAGGTGAATTTTCCATATCTTTATCCATAAGTAACAGGAGAGCAACTGATCGGAAGGGTGGTGCTACTGAATGTGTGTTCTTTGTCTTGCATGAGGGCAAAGAACAAGATGAAGGAAGTTAATGTGAAAAAAGAACTTGCTTTGAAACAAGTACTGCCTGTAAAGACTTGCAGACTTACTCACTGTGTTTCTAACAGCTGCCGAGGTTTTTCCAGCTCTGCTCTGATAATGTATGGGGAGTTAGGAAAGCCTGTGCTGAATGCTTCATGGCAGTTTCTTGTGCGACGTCACAGGAAGTCCGGAGGACAAAATTGTCAACCCTTTTTATTAATTTGATTAGTGACCCTTCACGATGGGTAAGAATTGCTTTTTATTTCTTGAATAGCTGTCATATTTAAAGGATTTTACTGTGATACTCCATATAGAACTTCTCTCCGTATGTGTTGATAACATATCTTGTTTCACACACCTCAAACAACACTCTTCTTATAAGGCTTAGTTTGTCAGTGGGTGTAGTCCCTTACATTTTCATAGCAGCATGTAAGAAAAACTGTCTGTGGGATAGCTGTGTTCTTAGCTACAGAGCTGTCTGTGACTTAAAATTGCTGAAAATTATTAACAATACTGGAAAATAAGATATGATTAATTTGTATTTCTTCAAGTTCCCTATCACCACCTCCTTTTTGGGGGGAAGTGGAGTGATACTGTTTGGTTTTGGCTTGGGGTTTGTTTGGATGGGGTTTATTATGGGTTTTCTGTTTGATTGTTTTGGTTTTTGTCTTGCAAATCTGCTTTGCAAACCTTGTTAAGTTTGTTACTGAGCAGACCACTTCGGAGAGTCAAAAGCAGATCTTCTGCACAGGAACATGAACTGTTGAATTCTGGAAAGTGATGCAAGTTGTAGCCCATAGAATTAATCAAATAATAAAAATTGAGATAGATAAATGCCGAGAAGGGGAGAATAAATAGTAGGAGAAAGGAGAAGCAAGTGAACAACATAGCCAAATAGGAAAGGGAAAGAAATGCAAAGCTTATAATCAGTCAAATGTACAGTAGTGAAATGGCTTGTTTACTGCACTAATTTTTATCATTTGAAGCTGTTACATTTTCAACTGAGCTTTCAAATTTTCCTGCTTATACTATCTAAATAATGGTCTTTGTTGATTGTGGGGAGGGAATAGGCCTGTCAACTTAGTTACCTGTGATTTAACTCTTTTTACCCTGCTTTTTCTAAACTTTTTTTTTTTTTTTTTACTTAACACTTTATGTGTACAGCTTACTGACTTTCCAGACAAGAGTCTCTGCTGTTGCTTTCCTCAGTAGGCTTACAACCCTTCCATTTCCTAGTAACAGGCATTTATGGTTTTTAGGACAGCAAGCTTTCCATATATAAATATTTTTTTTCACTTTGGACACTTTCTACTAGGTCCGCCAAGCTGCTTTTCAGTCTCTGGGGCCTTTCATATCAACTTTTGCTAATCCATCCAGCAGTGGCCAGTACTTTAAAGAAGAAGATTGTAAAAATGCAGAAGATTGTAGTTCTGCACAGGAAAACAGGTAAACAACTTCCTAAGTCTACAAATAATTTTTTTTCTCATTGTTTTTCTTCTGTATGAGCTATAAGTTAAGAAAATAAGCTTCCTTGTATAAGCTGAGTATCCGTCTTGCTAAATGGAAAGATCTGGAACTTCTTGTATTATTTAACAGACTACCAGCATTTTTAGTTATTTACTAAAAATACAGGAATATTCAGTAACCTAGGATACCTTGTGGAGACCGATAACTGGTCATGTACTTGAGGGATCATTATTGGGTCCAATCCTGTTTAACATCTTCATTAATGATCTGGATGGTGGGGCAGGATGTACCCTCAACAAATTTGCTGGTGACACAAAACTGGGTAGAGTGGCTGATGTGCCAGAAGGTGGTGATGCCATCCAGAGGGGCCTCAGTAGGCTGGAGAAATGGGCTGGCAGGAACCTCTTGAAGTTCAACAAGGAGAAGTTCAAAGTCCTGCACCCAGGAAGGAACAGGGCCAGGCACCAGTATGTTCTGGTGTCTGATGGCATGGAGTGTGGCTTTGCAGAAAAGGCCCTAACACTTATGGTGAAGATCAGGTTGATTATGGGGTAGCAATGTGTCCTTGCAGTAAAGGCAAATGGTATCCTGGGCTGCATGAAGAGGAGTGTTGTCAGCAGGTCAGAGGAGGTGATCTCAGCTCAGTGCTGGTGAGGCCACAGCTGGAGTTCTGGGTCCAGTTCTAGGCTTCTCATTATCAGAGACAGACTGGATGTGCTGGAAAATGGGGCACAAAGGTGATGATGGAGTATCTCTTCTACGAGGAAGAAAAGCTGAGAGGGCTGGTGCTGCTCAGCCTGGAGAAGCAAAGGCTTGATGGGGTCTTATGAATGTGTACAAATACCTGAAGGGGAGGGTGGAAAGAGGATGGAGTCAGACTCTTTCCGTTGGTGCCCAGTGACAGGAGCAGAAGCAATGGGCACTACCTGAAACACAGGAGGTTCCTTCTGAACATCAGGAAATACTTTTTTCTTTTACTGTGAGGATGGCTGAGCACTAGCATGGGTTGTTCAGGGAGGCTATGGTGTCTCCATCCTTGGAGATACTCAAAAGCTACCTGGACATGGTCCTGGGTAACTAGTTCTAGGTGGCCCTGCTTGAGCAAGGGTCTTGCCCCAGATTACTTCCAGAGGTCCCTTCCAATCTCAGTAATTCTGTGATTATGTATGTATTTATTTATTTTGCTAGGCTGTAAGTAAATGTAGTTTGCTAAATAGCAAGCTGATAGCATATGTGTGAATTTTTGAGAGTATCTGTTTGCAACAAGCATATTGTTTTTTAAATGTTCATTTGCTTTGGCACTCAACAGTGAACAAGTCAGGACTACAGAAGGTGTAATAACAGAGGATGAGCACAACAGGACAGAGGATCTGTCTTCACATGCTGATAATGAGGATTTTGCAACAAAACTTGAAAATGCCATGGAAGATCAAAATACAGTGTCAAATAACTCCCAGAAGGAAAGTGATTTCCAGACTGAGTCATCCTTCCATTGCACTTTGTCTTCAGAATCTTGTGGGGAAATGGCTGATGAGAACGAGCAAAGTTCTCATTGCTGTACAGCAAGTCTGCGTAAGACTGGGCTGAATTCACAGGAAACCTCTCTTTCAGAGCAGGAATTGTACAACTCTTTCCATTTCTGGAGGACTCCACTTCCTGAAATAGATATTGACTTCGAGCTTCAGCAGACTTCTGAGATATTACTTGATAGAGAAATTCAGGAACTCACTATGCCAGTGTCTCCAAACATTCCTATGGCAACAAGGAAAGAATTGGAAGAAATGATAGAAAATTTGGAACCCCATATAGACGATCCCGATGTAAAAGGTATAGTAAAGATCCTGAAGTATTTTTAGTGTTTGGAGATATGCATATGTTGTTTTAGCAGTTTTGGCTTGAACCTTTCAGTTATTTTAGAAGTCAGAAGTATGGCTTTCTCCTAGTCTTCAAAGAGATTGTATCTATTTTTATTTAATTGTGAAAACTGACGACGAACTGAAAGGGAACTTACATTTGTGTAAATATGTTTAAAGGTAGTATGGTTGCTTCCATAAACTGAATACACATACAGTTAGGAGCACAAACTTCTTACTGTCTGTTTTTACAGTATAATCAAATAGATGGTTCAAAGGCATAAGCAGTTGGTCAGGAAATTAATTTGTAGTTAGCATACATGCAAAATAACAAGGCAGATTAGGGTGGGGTTTTTTAAATATTGGAATTTGATAAGTGGCATTATCCATTTTATTTTTAACAAATCAGTCTTATCAATTTTTCTGCAAGGTCTTTACTATTGCTGTTTCATGTTGTCTACTTGCGTGAAGTTTGTTGGGTCAGACTGAGAATTTATCCAAACTGAATTCTTGAAGTATGAATCCACATCCTCCATTTTAAAAGCTTTTGAAGGGTGGAGAAGTGTTTCATAAGTATGACCAGTTGGTGGAGCAGCACCTCAGAGATACCTCCTGGGCTAAAATGACGGCTATTTCAAACATACCTACAGGAGGTACATTTCTCTTGGTATTCACATGCTGAATATATTCTAAGGCACATCAAGCTTGAGCATTACAGGGAGAAAGTTCAGAGCTACCAGTAAGAAAGAAGCCATGCTATTCTGGGGCTGAAGAATCCCTAGGGTAAAGCATGCCTCTGGACCAGAAAAAATTGGAAGGAAAAATATGGAGATTTTGGGAGTGGGAAAAACATCTTGGAATAAACTGGTACTGCTTTCAACTTACTTTGTTATTAATGGATTTATATGCTAATAAATTTTCTTTAATCCATTTTGGGCTGCTTCCATTTAATCTATTATGAAGTCAGCAGATGAAAATTTGTTGCTTTAAGAGTGCTTTGGGAAGACAGAAAAAAATCTCAGCCTTGCTAGTGATATCAGTCTTCACATAATGCATCTCTGAAGCCAACTGTTAAAACTTGCACTGCTGTTTGTTTTATAAAACCTTAAACACTTTCAATGAAGACATATGTAGGCATGTATTTGTGCATCCAGAATTGTTCTCTGCTATGGAGTTGTCATGTGTGTTCATATCTTATTTTAGATCAGGAGGTTTTTTGTAGCTCTCGTGACTGGCTGTCAAGAGGTTTTCTGTGCAGTTGATGAATAGTGCTTGTGCACTACAGTAGAATAAAATAGTTGCTAGGTTCTCAACACCATGGGTTCCCAGTCCCTACAAGCTAAGAAAGATTTGAACCAGGGTTATTGAGGTGTGGGGGAAGTGGGTGGTCTTAATTATTCGGTCACCTTTATGTTCCATTCAGTTCCTCTGACGTAGTCAAGGCTGTGTAGTGAAGCCTTGTGAAACACACCTCCCAAGCCTTGTACTCCTTTTTCATCTTGCCTATACTCTCATTATTTGGTCTAAATACTTAAGAATCTGAAATTTAACAACATACCTGTTGATTTGGTAATGTTGTTATTTCAATTTTACACAAAATGCATTGACGCATAAGGAAATTGAGACCAAAACTGATGGACTAGTATTCATTTTGCATGCTTGTCTCAAACACTAATGTGCACATAAAAGTGGTGGGTATCCAAGCTTCAGTCTCTGAGTAGCTGACTTATGCCTATGTTTTGGACCTTATACTCCATAAACTGTGACAAGAGGGAGGCTATAGATTCCTTTTGGAATCCAAAAGATCAGAGCCCTGACTGCCTTGCAGTGGCAATACCAGGAATAATGCTTTCCTCTTTACTGTCTAAAATTGTTTTTGCAAACTGATGCTGCAAACATGCGGTAAAAAGGTTGTCTTAATTTGTTATTTCCATAGAAATGTTATGAAACTTCTTAATTTCACAGAAAATTTTGTCTCCAGTAAATGTGGCTTACAAATGTCAAAACAGCTCTGGTCTCAAAGTGATGGTTGTGGTCTTTCCTCCTGCCCTGCAAAACTGGCCATTATGTTCTTATGGGTCTCATACTGGGAGTTGGCTGGTTCTTGACAGCAAAGACTGAGCAAACTAGGAGTTGGTTGTTTTTTTCCTCTTTCATTTTAAATCCCTGTCATCTTTTCTTGCACTTATTTTCTTCATTGGTTTGCTGTCATTCCAGTCCTGGATTCCTTCTTCCATGCTGTCCTCCTGTCTTTATAGCTGCATTCTTAGTAAAGAGATGGGAGTGGAAGACTGTTCTCTCTGGTGGGTAAACAGAGGCCTGCCATACTGGAGCACTCCCATAGGTACACATCTTCTGGTTTCTATAGCAAATGGGAAAAGTGTCCTAGAGACATCACAAGATGAAGTAGGGATGAGTTAGCCAAGTTGTACTTTGGGAGTGAGGCTGTAGTGTATGATGTTACACATATGGCAGTAAGGTTAGGTTGTTCAGATGATCCTAACTCCGGCTGTGCCTTACCTCTGAGTGCTTGGCTGTGCAACTTCAGCATTTTTCTCTTAACATGTTTTGCTTTGGAGGATATTTCCTAGCCTTAAAAAAAAAAAAAAATTAATATGTAATACCTATTATGTGGAACCATATTGGTCATTGGCACAGGGTTATTTTGAAATCAAGATTGCACTTAATTTTTATTATTTGACTCTACAGAATAACGGTATAGCCAGTGGAGGTTGCTGATTCCCATTTTGCTAGTTAGTTTCAGACCCTGTCCCTTACAGCTGAGACAGGTGTGGAGAGCTGGTACTGGAGTTCAACTGGCAATTATTCTTTCTGAGTTAGAAGAGTTACAGTTGTTGTTCTGTTTGTGGAAGGCTTTTTGTGTCTTTGTGGGTGTTTTTCCCCCCTGTGCTTTGTACTTTATCTGCATCTATAGCAACTACTATACCTTTGTGCCCATATTCCCTCCCTCCAGATATATTTCCCCTTTTATTTCCTTTGTTGATTTCATTTCTCTTCCTTTCTGGATTCTGCATTACTCTACATGTCTCACCTCACCCTTCTATATTGTGTTCCTTTACCTGCTTACATCATTACAGCAGAAGTATTGAGAACAGAATAACTCTGCTTTTTTCCAAGGGGTACATCAGGATTACTACATAAAGGGGAAAAATCAACTGAAAGGAAAGGCATTGGCAGTTTGTGCAGCCCAGAGTACAGTATGTTCAGTGCATACCCCAATCTTCCTGATGTCTTGGCTGCCAAGCTCTAACAGGTTACTAGTCACATACACAGAACTAACTTTTTGTGGTTGTGTGGGTGTTTTGAGTGTTTTTGTTTGTTTGGGGGGATTTTAGGTTGGTAACTTGATTGTGTTTTCTGTGTTTCTGTAGTGCACCTCCCTATCATCAGTTTCCATTTCAAATTTCAAATTCTTGCTTCAAGGCATGGAGGCTGATGAGGTCTCCAGTAAATACAATTTTTTACAGTGACCAGCAACCACCGTAGGACATTTTTTTTTTCTGTAATCTCATTCTCAGAAAGGGGTAAACCGCTTTAACTGAATCTCACTCCCAAAAGTCTTTACCTTGAGGCTTTCTTTCCAGAACTAGCCTCTTGCCAAAGTGATAAATCTGAGTAATAGGTAGTTGAGCCATCAGCAACCAAGATAAAAACAGCCTGCCTTCTCACAGACAGACTCTACTGGCTAGCAGAGCTACACAAGCTATTAAAAGTTAAGCAGTGGTGTGTAATCCCTGTTAATAGGACCTTTCCAGTCTGCTGGCCAGATATCCTGAGGGTCTCAAACTGGGAGATGGAAACATGTACCTTCCTCTTGTAAAATTATCATAGGGTCTTTATTCAGGTCACCTTTTTCCAGCCCCCTGAGGCTGCTGCTGTCTTCGGTTACTTCAGAGATTACTTTTCTTTCTGCAGATGTTTTTATTTCTTTATTTTTCTTTCCAGGGACACTTTGTTCAGCTTTATTTATTTCCTTATGTTCTACATAGAAAGTGCTAAGTAACCTAACATCAGCTTTTCTTAATATTATTTGAAGAAGGAGAGAAAGCTAGACTTGCAGGTTACTGGGGGTAACTGTGGCTTATGCCAGTTACAGGCTACTTTGCCAAATGGAAACCTAATAGAGATAAACCAGCCCAAATGTGGGGCAAATTGATTTCATTCACTTGTAAAATGTGTAAGTTAGGCCACTTTTGCTGCTTGCAGTAGAAGTATAAAATATTGTTAATGAAACAGGAGGTGAGGAGGAAGTGGAGAAGAAACTCCTCTTATTTTTAAATTTTAATTACTTTCATCTCTGTACCAATTAATGCAGCCCACAGCTTTTGCTTCTGAGTGAGGGTAAGGAAGGCAGGTTCTTCAGAAGAAGGAAGAATGTGTTCCACTTTATAAATACCAATGAATGTCTTCTAGTGAAACATTAGGAGAAACAGAAAACAACAACAAAGCATTTTGTAAGGACAGAAGCTCTTGAGGACCAGGAAATTTAATAAGGCTAGGTAAAATGTGGTTTTGAATTTAAAGGTTGTGCCAGTTATTTTAGGTAAAGTAACCAAGAGTAAGTAATTCCTTACTGAAAAATACTTCTCACCTGAAGTGAGAAGCAGAAGTCAAAGGAAAAAATAGTTAATTAGCAGATGGTTTAAGATCCTGTCAATGTTGACTTTATCTTACCAACATGTTATGCACACAACTGAGCTTTATACACCCAATTTTTACTGAAGGTAGTTGTGAAAGCAAATTAGCCAGCAGATTCTCTTCCAGTCTTCCTTCCAGAACCTTGCTTCTGAAGAGCTCTATGACATTTATTTCTTTGTCATGTGTTAAGGGGAGCTTTTTCCTTTGCGTGTACCTGTAATGGTTTTCTGGAAAATGTTGCCTATCTTATGATTGTAGGAAAGATCTTTGTGGGAGATGGGAAGGAGCAGCCGCCACCTGAGTCAGGAAGGTATCATCACAGATCTTGGGCTGTGTCTGTGTGATGGTATTAGGAGGGGAGGTACCTGGCACCTGAGCCCTAGGGTGGTGAAGACAGTTCATTAGCATGCTGTCTCAAGTTTCTTTATCTTCAAGGCAGCCACCTAGAGCTGTGTACACACAGGCACACACTCACACATGCACTCTCTTTCTCCTTTACTAAGCACTCCACCATTCTGGAGTCTTTCATAGTGACTGTGCTTGACTCTTTTTAGGCTAGGGCCTTAAGATGATTATGGACTTCAGATCATTCACCTTTCAGTGAGTGACAGTGCTGGAGTTGCCCTTTGTGACAGAACCTGCAGATAAGCACTTAAAGAAGAAAGAAGGCACTTGCCAATCAATTAAATCCTTGGAGTTTGGCCTTTCCTATCCTTCATCCTCAGGTCCTGGGACTGTAGAATTGACAAGAAGCTGAGAAGATGCATATTTGTGCCATATCTCCTCTAGGGCAGGTAGAGGAAAGGGGGATGTGTGGTCACAACCCTGTTAAGCCCCTAATCACGGGTGGTCCAAGTGTGCAGGCTGAGAGTGGGGCATGGTTAGGGACTATGTTTTGAAATATTTCCAATTAGCACTGTAGATATCTTCACTCTTGTTATTAGAAGTAATCTTTGGAGCTCAGTATGGGTGTTTCAGTAAGTTAATACTCAGTGTTGAAGCAGTACTTGTTGCCCAGTCAAGGGTAGGCTTTCTTGACTTCTAAGTGAAGAAGAAAGGAGTGAACATTTTTCATGAAATTGTCCTTCATGCAAGAAGTCTTAATGAAAATGTCTCCTTGATGTGCAACAGAATATAATTATTTTTAATTTTCTTGTTTGAGTTCTCTGAATGAGAATAAACTGGAAACCAGGCAGGCATTTCTTGCCCTAGCAGGTGCTCTGAAATAGCCACCTATTTTCCATTATTTTGGGTTGATTTGTTTAACTTTAAAGTATTGGAGGAATTTACTAGCCTTGATCTTGTTTATTCTCATGAACCTTAAAGTACAGAGGTTTATATTCAGTGAGCTAACAATTGAAGAGTGGAGTCATAACAAGCTTTTGTTAATCTTACAAGTTGTAAAATTCATAATTTTATGTATTTGTGTTTCAATTATATATTATGGATACATATTGAAACTGTGCTTTCTAACATAGTGTTTTATAGTTGGTTTTGGTTTTAAGTTTCTAATTTGCTGTGTTTTTTCTGGTTGAGGTGAATTACAGGAATGCATCCAGAATATCTTTCAGTTATTCTATCAGAAATTTGACTCAGTCAGGAAGCTAGAAATTTGTAAAAAAACTCTTTACTCCTGCTCATCAGACTCCAACAAGGGTGAACCAGTGAACCTGTAGTGTGTTTTTCCAATTTTTGCTAGCCAAGATTGAACTGAGTTACAGTATTGCTTCTTGTAACAGATCTGTTTCTTCTGTCTACAAATTAGTCCAACTTTATTTGTTGAATTTTTCTTGTTAGCCCTTTCAAAAAAAACTATAGGGAGAAATTAAGATTCTATAACTTAGTATAGCAACATGGGATTAAAACCAAACATAGTTTGTTATTTAGTTTGACAATGAACATATACGAGACCTTAGAAAAGTCACAATTCATGAGGAACTGAGCTTCTGGATGGCTGGGTAAATTTAATGGGTCAGGAAATTATTCCTCCTTATGTTCTTGAAAAATGGAAAAGGAGAAAGGTAAGGTAGATCAGTCTGCACTGAATTCTGTGTCGCTTGCAGCTAAGATTGCCTCTGATACCTGATGTGCTTAGGTCAGGCTATATCCAAGGTTTATTGCGGCTTGCAGCTAAGATTGCCTCTGATACCTGATTATATCCAAGGTTTATTGCTTGACAAAGCTCTTTTTAATTATCAGTAAGCAGAGAGATCGAAAGCAAAGCAGTCTCAGAACTGCTGTTTTTTCAGAAGAGTGGATGGCAGAATGTGAAATGCTAATGCTTTCTTTTGATGAATAAGAGGACATCAAATGGTGCAATCTTCATTATTTGTTTGTGGGATGCAAAGAGGCTACAGTGTCCTGCTCAGAAAAGATTTACTGGTGTCTAGAATCTTCCTATATAGATCTTACTTCAGAGTTGCTATAAAAACATAAAAATTTAAGGGGTGTATACAGAGGAGAGAGCCAGGTTCTCAGAACCAAAATCCTTTCTCTATGAATAAACCTATTCTCAACCTTTATTTGAATTACTTTTCCTTTCTCTTCTTAATTCCATCTTCCACTAAATATTCATGTGGTGTTCTGACTCACAAGACTGTTTGCACCATTAAATGTACCAAGGTTCTTAAAGAACTGATCCTGCCATAACAGCAGGGTGGTACTCCTTGGTGTCTTTGCTAGAAAAGCAATCTTTACTGAGCTTACAGGGTGGTTAAGCACCCTAGGAAAAGAGTGGGGTGTTAATCTGCCTTACATTTGATAGCAGTTTTCCCCAGCTAGAGGAACAGTCAAACAGTACAAATCTTACATTTGTACCTCCTCCATAGTTCTTCTGCCATCCTTCCAGTAATTAGTCACTGTCTGAAAGCTGATTTATGGACTTGCAAAAGTTTATTGCAGTTCAGTCTCTTATGCATTTCTCCTTCATATGCTGCAGCACAAGTGGAGGTGTTGTCTGCTGCACTCAGAGCATCCAGTTTGGATCCTCAAGAAGAGACAATGGCTAGCATCAGCAAGGGAACAGACTCACAGACTGAACTAACCATCAATGACCAACAGAGTTTTAAACCTATACTGGGTGATATTGTGCCTTTAATTGGTGACACTGTTGAGGTAAGAAGCAAGTTTTGTACTCTTTTTTTTATATTCTTTCTTTCTTTCTTCTTTCCCATTAGGATTTCCAGGGCTCCATAAACAGAGCTGTATTTTCTGTTTGTGTAGTAATTGAAGCCAAATGCCTCCTACTTTTGGCTAGTGTGGTGTTCAGTTTTGTTGGCTGATACTGAAGTGCTAGCTGCTAAAATAGAGTTATGTTGGTTGCCTTTGTTTTTGCCAGTTCTGTACTTATCCATATGAATTCTTGAAATTGTTTCCACTCAAATCTGTTGAGTCTATCACATTTTAAGATATTTTAATGCTACTGCAGTATATTCCTGTGAAATTGCCTTCCTTAAAACAGAGACCCACTGATAATAAATGAATCCACTTCTTCAGTTCCCCCATCCCCTCTCCCTCCAATCTGGAAAAAGGGGAGCTTAGTTTCCTGTTCTCCCTGACAAAGTGTTTTATAGTAGTTCACTGGCCTGCTGCATAAGACAAGTTCAGGACCTGCAATCTAGGATGCTGTGTGGACTGCTGAAAGGGGAAGTGGATTCTAGCAGTTACTAAAATGTTAAAGGTTTTTTGGCTTACTTCTTCAGCACTTGATACTATTTTTTGTTCTGTACTGTGCATTAGGCCAAACCCAGTATATTCACTGCATATAGTGCTATAGGGTCTGGTGTTATTCAAAGCTATAGCTGTGTAGAAAAATATGCTCCATAAAACCATAGCAAGTGATTTGTTTCAATCACAGTATGTAAGTAGTATTTTCAGGTGAAATTTTTTCAAAGACATAAATGTCTTTGAAAAGTCTAGGAGTTGAGTGCAAACATTTTCAGCCTTCTTTAATTAGAGCAGTGTTTCTAGATGACATTTAATTAACTTTTCACGTAAGCTGTTGGACTATCCTATAGCCTGAAAAAATTTTGGGGAGTGGAGGAATGTGACATTTACTTGGATGCTGCTGTTTATACACATTTATAATGTAACACTACAGATCTGCTTGGTTTGCTTCAAAAAACCAACATGCACCCAATTTGTGATGTCAGAATCAATATGTCACTTCTTTCTCATACTAACCTGTAAAATGACAGTGTAAATGTATCCTCTGTCCTAATTTTTGGGGTTGATGAGGGTGACATTTATTCAGAGGGACCTGTCCTGCATTTTATTTCTTTACAGTGTATTGCTGACAGAGTTGAAGAACTTGTCACATTGCTGGTGTACGTTGGTTTTGCATGTTTCAATGTTACTCTTTAGAAGGATGCTCTTAAATATTGCACTTCCTTGTTTGTTGCTGGCACTGAATCAAGTCCTCATTTTACAAGTTAAGGGATATTATAAAGGTGACCTAAAATTTGGGAATCAAGCTGTGATCTGTTGAGCAAGTGGACTGTTGCCCCTAGCAGTGAGGCATCTCTGATTTTCACAGGTGTTTTTTTGTTGTGGTGGGGTTTTTAGTTTGTTTGTCTTGGGTTTGTTGTGTTTTTAAGTCTCAGTATAGGACTGTGTCAGTAGGATACTGGACACTTCAGAAAAATCAAGCTACAACATTTTGTATTTGAAAGCAGCTTTCACAGTTCTGCACACACATTGCAAAGCAAAGTAACAGTTTGCTTTTTCTGCACATGTATTAGCTCCGGAAGGAGGTTTTTTTTTGTTGAAGGTAGAGGTAGAAGGGAAGGAAAAGAGAGAGAGAGGAAATCAGAGTAAAATCAGCTCATCCGTGCCTGGCACTTCTCTTTAAGAAGAGAATGGATGCCTGGAGGAGACTGGACCCTTAGTACTGCCTTTGCATGTCGGAAAATGCCAGCACCACTTGCCCTGTGCTGTGGGCTTTGTGTGCAGGCCATGACACAGCATGGGGGTCTATGGAGCACAACCACAGAGCTCTTGTTACATTGCAGCTAAAGGGAACCTCATGTAAGAGATTTGTAAGGCCATGACAAAGATTTTGCATCTCAGAGACAGGGGTTCACTAGTTTGGTACACAAGAAGCTTTCAGGCTAAACTCTGGTGATGTGTCCTGGCTCTCTGTAATATTCAGATCAGCGTGTGCATGTTACATGGAAAACATACAGATAGAACTTGATCTGCAGGCATAGAGATACTATATTGACTTTAATACTGACTGCTGCTGTGATTCTTCTGTACTGCATCTCTTCGTTTATGGAATGCATATTTGACTCTAAAAGTGGCTGGGTAAAAATGTTGACACCCAAATCTGAGACACCCTTCAGTATATTTAGTTGTTCAACTTAGTTCAGTCAATAAAGTATTCTTTTTTTTTTATTATTATTTATTTATTTTATTTTAACTTAGCCTTTTAGAGCTGAGGTACGAGACATTGTGAGGAGGCTTTTCGGTTTTATTCTCAGAACCCCTGGAGGCTTTTTAGTTGGAGTTGTGTGCTGCTGCACACATTTAGTGGTGGGAGTCACTTGCAGATTTGTTCTTCCCTTGTCTCTTTGACACCTTCATACTGCTGCTTGATAAGCCTGACTAGTGACTTGGGCTACTGTGCTGGTGATGTGCAATTGCCTTGCAGCTCTGCCTCTTCTTTATCACCTGTAATTATACCTCAGCAACTAAAATTACAAGCCAATGCTTAGATGAAAGCAAATAATGGAAAAGGAAAAAAGTGACTGTCTGAAGTCAAACCAAGGCAGGCAGATGGTATCCTGGAGGCTTTTTAAAAGAAGTTCATAGTTTTCTTGAAGATTCTTATTGTCAAACTGATTTGAACAGCTGGTAGAATAGGCATTTGTTTTCTTGGTGCTTCTGTTAACCCTGAGAGCTTACCCTGCAGGGTCTGTGAATAGATACTTTAGCTCATATGTAGTAAAAATGCCTTTGTCCTGTTCTACCGCAGAGCAGCCTGATGTACTTTTCAAATATTCATCATCTTCCTCTTGATCCATGGTTGGTTAATTATGCAAAGTCCATTGTATTTGGGGAACTCCACTGTTACTGAAAATGACAGTGCATCCCCACTGCATCACAATTTATCAAACCTCTGCTGCTCAGTAGAATTCTGAAACAAAGTCTCAGTCCTTGCATTCAAGACCCAGAAATGTAGCCAGGATGGTTGCTAAAAATTATTTTAAAGGAACTGCTGAGAGGGATGATGACAGTGTCAGCAGCTGTGGTCCACTAGGGCTCTGTATTACAAGGTGGAGCTCATCTGTAGATGAGATTAGAGAATAAACACCTCTAGAAAAGGAGCAACAACATAAGCATTGTCAGTTTGTGCTCTAGGGTGTGAGGGAGGCTTTGTTTTGACCTTTTTCCAGCACAAACTCAAAGCAACAGATCCAACTAAATCTGTTCAAGGTGTTTTCTCATTCTCCCTTCAGGGGAGAAGCAGTGTGACCCATGTTAGTTACATTTTCTATAATGCAATCTCAGATGTACTCCTGTCCTGTCATTTTCATTCCAGAAGAAACAAAATGGAGCAGAATAAGACGACCCCGTGTTTGAAATTGAAAGCAGATTTATCTTAAAGAGCTTTTGATTTGGGGCTGTAGCAAAATTGTATTTGATGTTAAAACATGTAGTCCTTTAATCTAAGAAAAAGACCCTAAGATGAAGACAGTACTTCTTAATGTTGATGTTTGTTTTTTGTTCAATCTTGGAATGTATTCTGTGTGACCTTTTTTCTTTTTTCATAGAATATGGATTCTACACTTCACTATATTCATAATGATTCAGATTTGAGCACCAACAGTAGTTTCAGCCCTGAAGAAGAAAGAAAATCCAAAGTACAGGTAAATGACATTACTTCTGTTTTTTGTACGTATATCAGATAAGTGGATTTTTTTTATGTATATGACGATTTCTTTTAAGTGTTTCATTCAGAAATTTCTGATGTAATGCAGTTTCTATTAAATATGACCAACCTTTTAAATAAAAGAGTTTTAAAATATTCCATGTTTGAAGAGATAATGGCTTAATTCAGCAGTTGCTTCTGTTTTAATTGTGTATAGGAGAAGACAGTATTTTTTTACATGAGGACAGTTGCCATAGACTTCCAGGCTTGATTTCATTTGGTTTCATTTTTTGTGGAAACTATCTGGTAGTGGAAATTAGGTTTTTGAGGAAACACGGTTTTTCGTTAAATGTTTTGAGTAGAACTGTCCCCACCTCATGACACCTTTTTGCAGAAAAGTTGTGGAAGTGTGTCATTAAGCTGTATCTCTTTTTAATTTTTTCTCAAAAGGAATCAAGCATTTGTTGTTATATATTTCAGTATTAAGTGTGCCGCCCTGCACCAACTTGATTGCTTGAGTGGGAGCATCAGTCCTTGTTCTTGCTTACATGAGCCGAGCTATTCAGCAGCTGTGTTAAGGAACTGCTTTTGTGCACCCTCAGTGCCTGAGATGAACTGACAACAGCTGAAGCAAAGATAGTGTTGAAGTCTACGCAAGGAGATTTTCCCATAGTTTTAGTTTAGATGCTGTCATATCTCAGAGTGAAGGACTGCTCGTTACCAGAGTCTTAGTCTCTGGAGAAGCCTTTTCCTTCATGCAAACTGCAGAGTTCAGAAGCAACATTGAACACAGTGTACTCTGCCTGCTCCTCTTCCTCACCTCCTCAAGGCATTTTAATTTAGTTTTCTTCTCTTCTTTGAAAGGAATAGGAAAATAATTTTTTAGTAAGTCTTGTCATTTGCTATTCTGCCTGTTTTTATGGATGAGTTAAAAGGGTTAATTTGCACAGCCTGCAAGTCTGAATGCTTGTACAAAAGTTGAACATAGTCTTTTAAGTTCCTGCTATGCCTAAGCAGACAGTGATCCATCCACTCCTCTGTAATGTTGGTGTGTTTTCAAATAACCCCAGTCGTGTCATTGTTTCTTTGGAACTTTTTGGTGGCACTGAAATGCAAAACCTTTGCATTCGTATAAAGTGATTGTAATTAAATAATATTGTATAGTTGTTGGGGAAAAAATGTTCTTCTGATGGTGTGCCCTGGAGTTTTAGTAAGCCTTAGAGGATTTATTGAAAATAGTGTAAACACTCTATGTTTTTCTTGCTGTAGGATGTTGTACCTCAAGCCTTGCTGGATCAGTATTTATCAATGACTGATCCATCCCGTGCACAAACAGTTGATACCGAGATTGCCAAACACTGTGCCTACAGCCTACCAGGTGTGGCACTTACATTAGGCAGGCAGAATTGGCACTGTTTGAAAGATACCTATGAGACACTGGCATCTGACATGCAGGTAAGCTCAGGAAGCTGTGACAGCAGATGATCTGAAACTTCATGATGTGACAATGAATAGTCTGAATTTCTATGATGATTTCTCTTGCTTACTGGGTGTTGGGTTGCTCTGCTTTTTCCATGGAGGCTTCAGTTGCTGATATTAGTTATTTGTACAATGAATGGAAATGTGATTTTTGTCTCAGAGTGTCTGCTACTCAGATAAAAGGGAGATGGGGCAATTTGAATGGGAATTGAATCTCCAGTGGGAATGTGAGTGAGAAGGGGTCTCTGATTTCCTCTGCTCACCTGAGATCTTATGGCAGTGCTTGGATTCTCACAGGTATGAGAATCTGGGCTGTGCTGCTGTGCGTGAGCAGACATGTGACCCTGTAGGCTATGTCTGGAACTTGGTGAGTCAGTCTCACACCAGGCCTTTTAGTGGCCTTTTGGTCCTGCATCCAGCTAGTCATAAAGGAATAACATCACTATTGCCATGCAGCATTGTGGTTTTAAAAACAAATATTGGGAATAGCAGAATTTTCCATGTCAGGTGATGAGGAGATGACTTTTTGTGCATTTTACTGTTGGTTTAAAGTTGTCTTCCAGTCCTCCCTTGTTTCCTTTTCTGGAGGTGCTATTTTAAATTTTTTAAAACATTCTCAGACTACTTCTCTCTTGCATTTACTGCTTACTATGTCAGAGCAGCAGTTCTCAGTGATATGTAGGGAGTAATTTTATACATGGCTATTGCTCATAGTTTCCAAACTCTTTCAGCCATTGAAAACAACCAGCTAATAAATTTAAAACATACGTAAAAAGAAATTACCCTGTATTCAAAACCATCTGGAGGTTATTGCCAGTCTAATCTGAATTAAGATTGAACCACCAAACCAGGGCAAAAAAACAGTACACATGCTAATTGGAAAGTGCTGGCTAAAGAGCAGATGCCATTTTATTTTAAAAAATAGTTATTTGAAATAGTTACTCCATTAAACAGTGCCCCCTCAGTTTAGGGTGACTAAAAGCTCTACTAGTTCTTGGACTGCTGGGCATTCGATGTGGGTGAAAGTTTACCTATTACGGAAGCTAAAATAGGCCAGCTGAAATATTGTGGGATATATATCTTATTCTATTTTGTAACTTGAACAAATGAGAAGGTAGTAGTATTGAACTAATTTACTCAAAAGAATTCAAAGGAAAGAGT